CTCTTTTGAACTCTGGTATGTCACCCATAATGTTGTGTGTATTGTAATATTTTGATCAAAACTGTGCTCTTACCCTGCTAATTGAACCTTTGCATTCTGCTCTTACTGGTGCAATGTGCAATTAATGAAGATTGGCCACCAGGCTGGTCCAATTTAGCCATGAAACCTCCCACACTAAKATGACAGGTGTTTCAGTTTCGTTGTCTAACCCCTGTAGATGTCTCCAAACTTTTCATAAGTTGTCTAAAACATCATAATGTGACAGGGCCTTTACTAATTGATTTATCCTGATCTGACCAGTTTAACTAGATAATACAGACAAGACTATTTTATTAACAGCACAGCAAGTTACTGAACAACCCCCCCACCAAAAAAAAAAAAAACAAAGACAAAAGAAACAAAGCAGATGAAACTTTTGTTTCACACTTGCWGTTTTAAGCTGCGAGATTTGCCCTTTATTCTTTAGCTTCACTCTGATTGCTTAGTTTATGACAATCTCACAGTAGGTTTATAACAAAACCAGAGGAGGAGGAAGGTGCTTACTTTACAGAGTCAGCCCTGTTGTTTACATGTTTCCAATATTTAAACTGAAAACTATTGTCACGGTCTCAGCTTTGAGTTTGTGCCAGGCTTAGAGGAAGGTATCCCGACTGAAAGTTCGTCCAGTTTTGGTTGTGGCCCGGGTTACTTGGCTTCTGGTACCGTGGTAATACAGAGGAGGCCCCAGGGTCACTCTGGATGATGCCCACATCGGCATGTATGTCCGTTTGGTGTGGGCCGTGGCGTAAGAAAATGGTCTCTGACCTTGTTTTGGTGAGCTGAAGAAAATAAAAGACAGAGTTCCTTCAAGATCTTACTTGTTTGTTTTAAAGGGAATTGAACCAATCAGAATCAGGTTTAACAAGGTTTTTGTTTACTTTGATTGTAAGCCTTCTTTCGCAGAAAAATAAATCAGCACCGACCCGCCACAGATGAGAAGAATGGAGCCTCCCCAACCAACAAAAACCGCAGCACCAAGTTCAAACCTAAAAAAAAAGTGAGTGGAGAGAAGCATCAAGTTGCAATTTTATCCATCTTAAAATGTTTTTGAAGTGATATTTTACTTTCACTATAAAGTACTGACTTCTCTGCCTTAAAGTTTGGATCCACAAATTCACTGATAACTTTGTTCGCCCACCAAGAGTAAAGGATCATCCCACAAAATCCTAAAGAAAAATTATTACACTTATTAAATGGATGTTTAATGAAATAAAACCATTTAATACGACTTTTATTTTATTTTATTTTATTTTTACCTGAAACCAGGTAGGTTACACCCCCAGAAAACGTGACCCTGGCATTTATGATTTCCGATCCTCCAATTTTAGTACATTTCATCCCAATCAGCGTGAGGACGCCCCCGAAGAACCCGGTGATGACTGCGCAGACGGCGAGCGCCCTGCAGGCGTGCAGGAAAACTAAAAAAAATACAACAAAATTAGGACTAAATCTTTTAATCATGTAGGTCACTTTTTTTCACAGCTTAATGTTAACATTTCTGTTTTGTAAATAAAACATATTGCACACAGTTTAATGTAAAAGAGGGCAATTTTTGTTTTTAGATTTAATGTTTAAAAATAACATTATGCCAATGTTTTTAAAAAATAGATATAAGTAGTATAAGAGTTGTTAGACAACAACCATTGAGTTCAAAGCACTAAACAAGGCAAAGTTTAATATAAATAACTGATGGGCGTGACTACATGGGATGCTTTGGTTAGGATTGGAGGGATTTGATGTGGGCGGGGCTTGATGCTTGACTGGCAGTATAATAAAATACATCTGTTATTACAGTAGAAAATCTGTGATAATGAATTTTTTTCTTTTCTAATGATTTTTCTCAGGATTTTGACTTTGTCAGAATTCAGATTAAAGGTCACAAATGTAAGAATTTGTTTCAGAATACTGTAACTCAAATACACTTGAAGATCAGGAAAATGTAACTTAACATAAAAAA